TCATGCTTAAAAGCTAGCGTTTTGTCAGGGGTGCATTTAAAAAAAAGACCCGTTTCATCAACATTGAAGACGTCTCTAGCGTCTTTATCCTGGATCAATTCCCGTAAATTATTTTCCCATTGTTCGGCTACTTGTAGATTAACGGCCCCACTTTCTCCACAAATGGTTTTGAACGAAATTTTGTTGCGTTCTTTGAAGCCATCTAGCCACCCAGAACTCGCCTTAAAATCGGGTTTCCCCATTTCAGTAGCAAATTGTTCAGCTTTGCTTCTTATAAGGTGACCACTCACGGGAATCTTCTTATCTCTTGCTTGCTTGAACCATTTTAAAACACATTTGTCCAAATCAGGATTTCCCGGCTCCCTTAACCTTTTTCGGCCTTTATCACACTCACTTTCACTCCTGAGAATTTTTTATTTATTTTTTAAGTACGTCGACAACGTGTTTCGAGGAATCCCAAAGTCCTTAGCAATATCGGATTTTTTTTTCATCCCCATCTCTACTTCTTTAATCGCCGCTATTTTTTCAGCCAACGTCAAAGTTTTGTATGTTCGAAGCGCCGACATATTCGCTCCTTTTAGCTTTCTTGATAAATAAGGAGTCTCAAAAATCCAATAAAAATAAATTTATTATATATAGTACTTCTCTTGCGGCAAGATATTGCCACGTGGAAAATTAGGAAAGACAAACTTCGGCGTGACACAGCAATTTATTTAAGGCAAGGACAAACTATAATTGATAAAATAAAAGATAAGCAATGAGGGAAGTTTACAGAGTAGCAAAATATAAACATAAAAATTGTTAACTCTGTTAATAAAATAATTAATAATAATAAAATAACAAATTCGTTGTTACAATATCACAACGTCATTTCGCAAAATTTCACGCCTTGAACCGGCATCAGGTCCTTATTTTAACTCGTAAAAGTTCGAATTATCCAAGACATAATTCGAATTAACCACGATTTTTTAACATTATTTATATAGGAAATTCTAGGGACCAAGATAAATATTCGAATTAAAGAGGTTTTCGAATTAAAGAAGTTCGAATTATCCAAGTTCTACTGTATATATATTGCTTATCCCTAGTACACGTGGTACAGGCCATGATAATCATGGTGGTTCACGACTGCCTCTACTGTAAGTGTACTGGAGTGTACTCTGTCCTTCGTCAGCGTTTTCTTTATATATATATTGCTTATCCCTAGTACACGTGGTACAGGCCATGATAATCATGGTGGTTGACGACTGCCTCTACTGTAAGTGTACTGGAGTGTACTCTGTCCTTCGTCAGCGATTTTCTTAATATATGTTGTTCTTTGCTTATCCCTAGTACACGTGGTACAGGCCATGATAATCATGGTGGTTGACGACTGCTTTTACTGTAAGTGTACTGGAGTGTACTCTGTCCTTCGTCAGCGATTTTCTTAATATATGTTTTTTTTTTGCTTATTCCTAGTACACGTGGTACAGGGCATGATAATCATGGTGGATAGAGGTTGACGACTGCCTTTACTGTAAGTGTACTGAAGGGTACTCTGTCCTTCGTCAGCGATTTTCTTAATATATGTTTTTTTTGCTTATTCCTAGTACACGTGGTACAGGTCATGATAATGAGTGACAGGTCATGGTGGTTGACGACTGCCTTTACTGTAAGTCTACTGGAGTGTACTCTGTCCTTCGTCAGCGATTTTCTTAATATATGTTTTTTTGCTTATTCCTAGTACACGTGGTACAGGCCATGATAATCATGGTGGTTGACGACTGCTTTTACTGTAAATGTACTGTAGTGTACTCTGTCCTTCGTCAGCGTTTTCTTTATATATATATTGCTTATCCCTAGTACACGTGGTACAGGCCATGATAATCATGGTGGTTGACGACTGCTTTTACTGTAAATGTACTGTAGTGTACTCTGTCCTTCGTCAGCGTTTTCTTTATATATATATATTGCTTATCCCTAGTACACGTGGTACAGGCCATGATAATCATGGTGGTTGACGACTGCTTTTACTGTAAATGTACTGTAGTGTACTCTGTCCTTCGTCAGCGATTTTCTTAATATATGTTTTTTTGCTTATTCCTAGTACACGTGGTACAGGCCATGATAATCATAGTGGTTGACGACTGCTTTTACTGTAAATGTACTGTAGTGTACTCTGTCCTTCGTCAGCGTTTTCTTTATATATATATATATATTTCTTATCCCTAGTACACGTGGCACAGGCCATTATAATCATGGTGGATAGAGGTTGACGACTGCTTTTACTGTAAGTACACCACATGTACACTTGTATACACATATGAAAAGCAGTTCAACTTTACACTTACAAATGTGCCAGAGCCCCGTTCGGTTACTTGAACTCGCTGGTAGGGTTGGACTTTTTCAAGAATCGGGGACCATTGGAGATTATTTTTAATCAGAAAAAGTGTCCAATGCGGGAATCGAACCCGGGTCGTAGCGGTCGAAAACTAACGGTTTAGATAATTCTTCCACCGACCCCCTTAATATATGTAAAATAGGAAGGCCAATATACATTATTTTTGTAAACCGAGTTAACAAGAAAAATGTTCTTTCTACGTTACCTTGTAGATAACTGTAAACAATATCTTGACGGTAGAGGTTACCAGCATTCATATTTCTTTCAAAATGGACACTTTGGCAAGATAAAGTTTTATTTTCTCAATGTTTCTACAAAAATCTTTTGTCTTCGTCAGGAGAAAATTTGAAGAAATTTGTAAGAGATATTTATTTATTATTATCAAATCAGACGCGATATCCCCACAAGAGATGCTTGCTTCAAGAAATAACACTAAATTCAGATACTATATTACATAAACAATTGGTTAATCACAAGATTTGAGTTTTTGAGAGATCTAGTTGATTTTTGTCATATCTGGACTTCTTGTCATCCTCTTTTTTCCTTGACACCATTGAGACGTCTGCAAATGTCAAGTCACAGTGCGGTACAGAAAGATGTATAAAAAAAACGTCGGTGGACGAGTGGGTAACACCCTCGATTCCCGACAGTCATGAACCGGGATTAAATCCCGCGTTAAAATTTTGTTTAATATGTCAATAACCTTCACATATTATTCATTGTTTCAATTATCATAAACTAGGTTCCTTTTGTTGAGTGGTACCTAATAAAGTGATTTTGGAACCGAACCGAACAGTAAGAGTTCTCAGCAGGTATCAAACCATTCCAGGTGTAGGGGGTAGAGATATCGTATATTAAAAATGAAGAGACATTTCACATTATTCAATTTTATTCCAACAGTGCTAAAAGTCTTCATTTGTAATATAATATAAATACGATCATTTTTAGAGAGAGAGAGAGAGAGAGAAAATCGATACGAAGTATAGCTTTCAATTAGTATGTTTTTTTTTTTTTTGGTTTGTCATAAGTATAGCTTTCAACTAATATGGTTTCTTTTGTCATCTTGCCATGTAAATCCAAGTAATATTCTTAAATTGGATGAGTGTTATTTTAATAAATACATGAATATGATCTACCCGCAACTTTTTGGTATATATATAGACTCATGGACAAAACTTAAGGAAGTTGTACCTTTTAGCATGTATATCGGGATTCAGACAATAATTCTGAAAGATATTTGATACACAGTGACCTTTATTGAAGACACACGAGATAACCCAGTGTGAACAAAATAGCCAATATATAGATTTGATATATATAGATGGGGCATTATTGCTTTATATTAATTTATGCCTAACTGGCCTTTTCCTTATTGTATTATATCCAAATATTATATGTAATACTACTGTCTTGAAAGCTTATGTCCATAGTTTTCTTGAATACCAATTCTGCTATTCCACCCTTCATGTAGCATATATAAGCAGAATGATCCAATACAGTATTAGAGCTCTAAAGAAGTGGTCTGGTAGATTAAATTGGCGAAACCGCTGGGAGGGTTCATCACTGATGAAAAAGCCCTTCAACTATATATTTTCATCACAGTAAGGACAGTAGAAAGGTTTGATATATGTGTGAAACAAACATTCGACTCATAATGTTTTCATTTGTTATATATATGTACATCTAATGCATAGCAATTATGCATCAAAACACAATGCATCATGTTCATCACCATAGGAAAAATAAATACATAAAATTATCTCGCAACTTTATGTTATATGTTAACTAATAGACAAAACTTGAGGAAGTTGTATCTTTCAGCATGTATATCGGTATTCAGACAATAACTCTGAAATATATTTGATACACAGTGACCTTTATTGAAGACACACGAGATAAATTAGTGTGAACAAAATAGCCTCTATCTCTTAAAAAAAAAAGATAACCGGCGATATGAAATACATTCCACTTCCTAGTGTTTTATCCATTAGTATATATATTGCAATTCAACCTTTAGTATAATATTATTACTGGGGGTGGGTGGAAGGGTGGTATGACCCGTTGGTTTTCGACCGCTACGACCCGGGATTCTAATTTTAAAATATTGCTCCACTGGCCCCCGATTCTTGCAAAAGTCCAAACCCTACTAACGAGTGTAAGCAAACAAACGGAGCTCTGGCACATTTGTAAGTGCAAACTGCTTTTCACATATGTAGACATGTGGTGTACTTACAGTAGAAGCAGTCGCTAACTATTCACCGTGATTATTATTTTTTTTTTTTTATTATCCCATGGATAAGATTACACCAGGTGATTAGATTGTAAGCAATAATTTTTTCTACTATAGTTTTGGGGTTGTTGTATAGGTCTTACTTCTTATCTTCAATACAGTCCAGGATATGTGCTGGAGTTGCATTGGAGTTGGAGCGTGATTATCATGGCTTGTACTACATGTACTTGGGATAAATAGGAATTACAATAAAGTATAACTGTAAAACGACATTTGAAAATTATTCAGCATATGTTTCTTTTAAACCAAAAATATAAATTTATTTTTAAAGAGAAATAATGATTATTTCTAACCTTAGGGATGAAGTATGAATTGTGAAGAGTAATGATAAACGGAAAATGGGAATCGAACCCACAGTGTTCCGCTTACCGGGCAGATGCCATGTCCACTAGGCTACCCTCGACATATTTTTCCGTTCGTAAATATTATATAAAGCAATTTATATTACAATATAATGCGGCTTATGTATAATTGTAATGTATTCAAACAACTAACCAACACAACCAGAGACCGCGGCGTCCCATAATTAGATGAGGAACCTAGAATCTTTGGTATTCCTTCTTAGCTCCAATACAATCCAAGATATTTGCTAGAGTTTCAGTGGAGTTGGAGCGTGATTATCATGGCCTGTACTACGTGTACTTGGGATAATTATAAATTCCAATAAAGTATAATTGTAATATATTCAAACAACTAACCAACACAACCAGAGACCGCGGCGTCCCATAATTAGATGAGGAACCTAGAATCTTTGGTATTCCTTCTTAGCTACAATACAATCCAAGATATTTGCTAGAGTAAGTGGAGTTGGAGCGTGATTATCATGGCCTGTACTACGTGTACTTGGGATAAATATAAATTCCAATAAAGTATAATTGTAATATATTCAAACAACTAACCTACAACCAGAGACCGCGGCGTCCCATAATTAGATGAGGAACCAAGAATCTATCGATCCTTCCACTTCAATATTCATAAGTTCCGTGAGAAATTTGATTAAGCTAAATGGAACTTTAATGTGCACCGAATTAACTCGGCTCCATCAATAAATAATGATTATAATCAACAATGATTAATTAATTATTTATAAATTATAATTAGTGTTAAATGCAACTTTCAAACACAGAGTGGAGAAGAAAAAAATGTTCCTTATTCCAAACTTAATGTGATTTGCTGGGAAACACCAATTACCGCTATTAGTCCAATTAACAAGTCTATCAATTAGGATTAAAAGCAGTAATTTAATTTTTATAATGACCAGAATGGACTTTAAAAAAAATAAATTTAATACGGTTAATTAGGTTTAAAAAGGTGATGTTTTTATACTGAGGTGCTTTTTGATAAAATGTGTTTCTAACTAGAATTCGATTAATTAAATACGAAATTGTGATTGGCTTAGAGAAAAAACGGTCTTTCTTACTTAACTTAATGAGGGAGAGTTGAGGATTTTTTTGGAGAGTAGACAAGTCCTGGAATAACAGGTGAATTGTTGTTTAATGTATACAACAACATCCCTATATCAAATTCACACATATGTACAGTCAATTCACATTTACGGAATAAAACAAATGATTAAATCTGTAATAAACAACTAAGTCTTAAATAATCTTCCTCAACCACTATTGGTGCTGAGATTGTTGTTGACACACATTAATATGTTATAATACCTTGTTAAAGGATGGCATTCAGCTAACTGAAATATTGGTAAAAATAAATGATATTTTGATCCATTATTGGTTAATAGAAATAAACCAGAAGAAACACGTAATTATAAAATGATATCAACAAAAAACAATAGTAAATAATTATCAATAGAAAACGAGTCCAAATATCTTGTGGAAAGAATATTTATTGTCACATCAACTAATTTCACAAACACACAAATAGTTTTATTAAGACCATCGGTCTTTTACAGATTCACCACAAGGAGAAAGGAAGCATAGATGGAGCTCCTGTACATCAAATAATTTCAGCTTATTTATTGTTGAACTGGCGTTTAGGAACACCCACTGCCATATTTTCCAAGAGAAGGAAAAGGAGAAAAAGGCTGGCGATGTCCATCAAAGTGTTGAATGAGCATCGGCTCATGTAGATTGCACTTACAATCATGGACAAAACTTAAGGAAGTTTTATATTTTGATGTCGCTTGTCATCTGTTTTTTTATTTTTTTTTTTTGAGTAGTCAAAGGCAATTTTATTCACACTTGATTATTTCGTGTGTCTTCAATAAAGGTCACTATGTATCAAATATCTTTCAGAGTTATTGTTTGAATCCCGATATACATGCTAAAAGGTACAACCTCATTTATCTCCATGAGTGTATTTTAAAAAATAGACAACATTGAGTTAGAAGATAATAGTGTTTTGTTTCATCGCTACTGTTGCAAGTTCTTATTTCCATAATGGCTCTAGAAAATGTTTAATCCGAGAAACCTCTGTGATTTTTTTAATACCTAGGAAGGAAACTCTTGAGATGACCCCTGGTTCGTGAAGAACGTTTTAAATTAAAATTATTCCAAATACTCTCTCCCACCCGATTCTTCAGACATTCACTCCGCCAGTCGGTCTAAGAAACTGAACACCACAAAAGCTTAAAGTTTTCCTACCTCCAACATTGTAAATATTAGAAAAATAATAATAATTTAAAACGCGTTTTTTAAAATGAAAGTTTCCAGCTGACCTACTATGATTACAAACAACATGTATTAGAAGCGCCTGGTCCATCGATGCTGAACCCATCCAGCGATTTTAAATAGTTTATTTTTTTCATATGCCAATCGCACGCAATTACTTGCATTTACTCTTTAGACATGCTTATAGGAAAGGTGTTCTCTATTTGATAGAGTTATCTGGGTCTGTACAACATTTATGTAGGTGTGTGAAGAAGGCCCACTCTCTATTTCATTGTTCTTTTGAATATTCGCTTTGGTGAACTGGATGATAGGGTGTTTGGATCGTGGCAACATTGCCTTTACCTGAACTACAGTTTCAGGTGCCCTATTCCGGTAATAGTTCCACAACTAGGTGGAAGGTTTAGAGATAGGATGAAGTAATGGTATGAAAGTGAAGCTCCGCCTCTCCACCGGAGACAGCTGTGTTGCGGAAGAGGCCCAGAGATCCGCCACAGGTCTGCCATAATTGCAGTCGCCCCCAAATTATGATCAGCCTCAAGTCAGCCACAATTGGCTGATAGAACGTTTCCTGCAATTTGAGCTGGGAACTTTAATTGGATTTTAAAGTTTAATGGTGAAGCTCAGAGAGAAAAAGACAATAGAGTTTATAACAGTTCATCTTCATTATTCCACAGGGTTGATTATCTTTGGGAATTTCAATGTGATTTCCTGTATCTTTCGCCTAACAAATATGCTCAAAGAGTGAGTTACTTGATGGACCTTTGTTTTTGAACATATTTCTCAAAGAAGAAGCTAAATTTATTTTGATAGGTTTGGAAGATTCAAAGATTGTGATTACCAGTTTGCTGAAAAGGTAAAAATCAACAAAAGTTATGCATTTTAAGCTTAAAATATATGTTTTCAAGAAGATGGTGGTCAAATTGTCAATAGTTAACGATAGTGATTTTGCACAAATAACTTATAAGAAGTCATTCAAATTGGATATTCCAATAACTAATAGATATATTGAATCTATTCAAGAGCAGCCAGAGCAGACTACAGAATGATCAACTTGTAACTATATATGTACATATTGCAAAGTTGCTGAAGGATAATATTCATGCACCAAAGGAGGCAGCTTTCCTTTTAATGCAGGTGTGTCATATTCTCTTCGTTTTACATAAATTCTACAAGGCCATAGTCACCGTTCGGAGGAGATTAATAGAATCGCTGAATGTCGTGGTTCATTTGGATGATGAAAGTGAAGACTAGAATGCGGCTGATTCCACACTAGCCTGTTCAGTGATACGTTAACCTTGACGTATGCACGAAGGAACGTGTGGTCACTGGACATGTGTCAGACCTGAAGGCTGTTGTTAGGTTCTGCGCTGCCTGGAGTTTAGGAGTTCCATCTATGCTTCCTTTACAAATGAGGTTAACTTTTTATATAAAACAATAATAAGGCCTGTATTTACATACGGATCAGAAATTTGGTTTAAATATTTAAACAATCGTTCTAAACAAAAACTGAATTCCATGCAGTACCAGATCATTTTATGGGCAGTTAGAGCATATAAAACCACTTCATCAAACTGTGTGCATAGTTTGGCAAAAATTCCACTCCTAACAGACTATATAGAATCTAGAATAATCAAATATGATCTAGCTCAACTGTCCACTGAAGATCTAATTACTTACGAACCCCATGGTCCAAGTATAGTCAAATCATTCTTACACGCAAAAATGAAAGAAATTTTTGATAATACTAATGAAAATTTCAGAAGCTTTTTCGTATCTGGAATCCCAAGATTTTTCCGTCCAAATTTTTATAATATCCAATTCATTACAGATCATGGCAATTTTGGGAAATTTTTGGCAACTATCGGCGCGGTGAAGGAACCAGGATGCTTCTGCGGAGATAAAATTCAGGACTCGAAACATCTACTTATGAATTGCCCAATTTTCCGGGTTTATAGGGAAAACAAATTTGGTCGTATTGGACAGCTTGATGAATTTGTAGACGATAAAGAGAGGTGTAAAAATTTTGATCAATTTTGCAAATTTATTTACAATTTTCTTTTGAATTGGAAAAGAGAGAGGGAAACTTAGAAGGAAAAGAATTGCGATGATTGCTTTGTGTGTTTTGCTTTGTTGTTTGTTTTTCTCTTCGGACAATTTTCTTTGGTTAATTATGTAAAATAATTAATTGAACAGGATTGTATATAGCCGATTTGTTGTGATGTAGAGAGAGGTATCGACGCAAATATCCCTGAGTTTGGGATATCGCGTTTCATGATGTTAATAAAATTGTAAATTGTAATCTATGCTTCCTTTCTTCCTGTGGTGAATCGGTATAAGACCGGTAGTCTTAAAAAAAGCTATATGTGTGTTATATTCTTAATTTGCCAAAACTGGAGTTGTGGCACATTGTTTATCGTCACTTGTACGTTAAATAGTGGGGTCACGAACAAAATATATGGTGTTAATGTATTACAAAGGGAGAGATGGTTCTGTTAGTTAAGAGGTGTATGTATTGGAATCTGATACAGAGTAAAGAGTACAGAATTATCCCGATTTACTCAATTCAGAGTTACGTGATTCTAGATATCCCCGTGCCGCCCGTTCAACATTTGCTGTAGAACTCTACATTCTATGAACGTTCTATTCGACGTCTTGTAAAACTGTGAATAGTTTTCAGAGACTTGAAATATTTGAACATTTTCATATATATCACCTATCGCAATTTCTGGCAATATCTGTCTATACAGAAATATGCTAAGAAATAGTTTAT